AAAGCCACGAAAAAAAACAGAAAAAACGAGGAAGAAGTGGAAAAACAAAAAAAAGGAAATAGGCAACAAAACAACAACTTTGGAAATGAACGTGCGAAGCGGGCGCTGGTGTGGGCGTGGGTGTGGGCGTGGGCGTGGGCGTGGGCGTGGGCAAAGGGTTGGCTGAGGGCCCAGCGTTTACTTTTCAAAAAACTGTTTTAAAAGCTTAACCACGAAAAAGAGAACAAAAAATTTGCGAATATTCCCTAATGACGGCCTCAGCCGTAAAGAAATGCCACAAAAGCCCAGGAAAAAAAACAACGCTAGACAGAGTAGAGCGAGCGCGTATGCTGCAGAGAAGAAAGCAAATAAACGAGAGCAAGAGAGGGGTAGATTGGGGGTAGAGTGGGCACAGAAGGTAGCGAAGGGCGTGAGTTTCTGAGGTTAGGCATGAAAGTGGAAAAATGGGAGCCGTTCAGCAGGGAGACCGACAATGATAAAGCGGCATGATAAAGCATCAGAGTGGCATTAGCATTCGGCAAACAGTTCACATACGCAACTCTAGTTGAGGCGCATGACAAAAAGTGCTCTAGTCGGGGGTGCACGACCTGCAAATACCTCGAACAACGCAAAGATCTTCCATATATAGGGAACTCTTGTAGACTCACATAGAGCAACTACCTCTTTTCGTCTCTGCTCAAAGGGTAGACATGTAGGGAGAAGAGGAGAAGGAAAGAGTGAGAGAGAGAGAGAGAGAGAGATAGAGACAGAGATAGAGGGAGAGAGGGAGAGTAGGGAACTTGCTGGCAGTTAGAGAAAATGTTAGTTGATTGCTTCAGGCAACAGGAAATGAAAGAAAGAAAAACAAAAAATTGTTGGGCGAAATGCGAGGAAAATTCGTGTATTTTCCTCTTGCATTTTCCAGTTTTTATGCTCATTGCGCTTACCCTGGAGAAAAGTTAATCGCAGCAATCAAAGCTCTGGCTGGGAATTACAGCAAAACTCTATGTCGCTTTACTGTTAGAGTAGAGCATTCGAGCCGTCGAGCAGTCTCTATGGATCGCATTTCTGCTCGAGTCAAGAAGAGTTAAGGCTCTTTCAAACAAGCAATAGTAAAGCTCATATCGTAACACCGTACTACAAAGAACAGGCACTGAACACCAGTATATCGGCTTTTGCTTCTTTCTTTGCTTTCTTTCGTCTTAGAATTTTCCTCTCACTTGGCAATTTCTCTAAGCAGCTTCTAAATATCTGGCTTTTTGGCTATTGTTAGCTGCGGTTGCTTTTTTATTGTAGAACGCTGGCTCCACTGCCACGCCCCCAAACACACACACGCACACACACTCAGGCTGTTAACAATGGATTCTAACGCAATTTAAGTCAACTTCGACACCTGCAAAGTGAAATTGAATTACAAAAATAAAATAAAATAAAAGCAAATGCGAAAAAAAAACTTTAACAAAGGCAACAGCAATGAGGAAAGTCAAATACAAAGGCCAGCCGCTCTGCCCCGCCTCGCCCTCGTTCTCGCTCTCTCTCTCTCTCTCTCTCTCTCTCTCTTACTCTTTTACGCTTTCTATTTGCTTTTGGCAGCGAGTGTTAAGTGTAATTTTTACACCTTCACGCTAAATTTTCAGCGTGCAGCGGCAACTGCTGGCAGTGGCTGACGCCACCTGCTATCAGGCAGCAGCCACTGGGCACCCAACGCCCACTCGCCCCCAGCTCCAAGCGCTTCCTTTTGCTCTCTTTCGCTTATACAAAATGCTTGAGAACTTTTAGTGCGTCTCAATGCGCATTTTAAATAAAATAGAAATTCAATTTACTTTAAATAAGCGACAGAAACACAGCAAAAGCAACTCGACACACACCAATACACACAGGCACACACCAACACACACAGGCACACACACACACGCAGCCTGAAAGCGGAACAAGTGCTAAGGAGCAGGGCATATCTGTGCGCGCCTCTGCCGAGACGAGGTGACAAGCAGCAGCGAAACGTCAGTGACAGCTTCTGCTTCTTACTTTTCTCCGGCACTCTCTCTTCCCCTCCCCCTCTGTGCCTCTCTCTTTCTGCTTTGCCTTTGCTGCTTAACTATATCTCTTGCCAGCGAAAGAGACAAAAAAAAAGCAAAGCGAAAAAAACTTTTTAAATGAACTCAAAATTGACTAAATGTGCTAGCCAAAGGTGCGTAGCGAGCAGAGAGAGAGAGAGAGAGAGAGAGAGAGAGAGAGAGAGAGACATAGAGAGAGAGAGAGAGCGAGAGATGGAGATGAAGGCAAAGTGTGAGTGCGATTTCGCTGGGGAATTTCAGTTAAAGTCTAAAAAAGAAGGCAAAAGAAAAAAATTCTGGAATATAATTAAGCGGCGTTTAGAACGCTTGTAAAGAGCGCGAGAAGTTTGCCTAATTGTTTGCCCGCGCAAGGCGAAAAGAAAAACTTTCCGCAAAAGTTTAATTTAAATCTGAATGAGAATTTCGCTTCCAATTTTTTTCTCTTTATAATTTGTTGATTGTTTTGCCTCTTTCAAGAGCGACTAAACGCTGCTGATGCTTGACAAGACCAAATCACTTAAACATTGTGAAAAACCTCGTTTATTAAGCCACTGATAACTCTTCTAGATGAGCAGCTGTATAACAGTTTTATGACAGTCTTATTTGTTGTATTGCCTTACAACTGAGAAACTGTCTTCATTCATATGCATAATAGCTTAGATAAAATCTAGGCTATAGTTAGGAATAAGCATTATAACAGACAGAAAACAGCTGTATAACACTTATGTTTACCTAAAATATATATTTAAATGTGAGGCAACTGTATTACATTGCATATATATAAGCATAGCCATTTGAACACTAGTATAATGGTTTTATAACAGTTGTATAACACTTGTATAACACTTGTATAACACTTGTATAACAGTTGTGTAAATGTTACTAAACAAACGATATGAGCAATAATTGAATGTATAACAGTTAACTAACAATTAGGCTGCAATTATACTAGAAAACAAAGAAACAGTCGTAGAACAGTTTACTTTTCCGGTGGAGGGTATTAGCTAGACGATCACATGAAGTTGCCTGGCCTGCAGCTTATCTAGTATTATAAGCAGCTGCCCAATGCCGCAGCTGTCGCTTTGATTTCAGTTGGAGTCAGGTGATACGATATCTTCAGACCACAATAGGCAAGGCTGGGAGGCTGGGAGGCTGGGAGGCTGAAAGGTTGGGAGAGTGGGAGACTTGAAGACTTGGCGACACCACAGCAACCGCTAGCCTGCGGTTAATGCAAAGATGGGGCAAGGCAGGCATAATTATAAAGCTGTTCATATCAAGCAGCTCAAGTGCAACTGGCTTAAGGGCCAGATTGAAAGAAGCGAAGGCAACGACATCGCGTGGGAGATGGCAGCTCATGGTGTTGATAAAGGGATGAGACTGGCGCCCAGCTGGCGGACGCCAACTAAGCCCCAACCTACCCGAATAAGAAGAAGAAGCTGAAGAAGTGGAAAACAAAGTAAATAAATAAACCGACCAAGGCAAAGCCTGGAGCCGAGGGGCTTAACGGAGCGGGCCAGCGCGAGGCACTTGGAAGCAAGTCGACTTTGCTTCTTCCTTTTCTTTTTTTTTTTTGGCGTCACCCAAATCAATTTATTGAATTTATTTGGTGATTTTATTAAAGCGCGCAAAAAGCATCAAATGAATTGACACGAAGGGGGCGGGGGCGTGGCAAGGGGGAAGTGGTGGCAAAATTCGATTGCCGATTCAATTGGCTGTCAAAAAACATGTATATATCTGAGTTAGACTGAGGCTGGGGCCTATCGTAATTAAGTTAGAGCCTTTCTACAATTTGTGCCCAGCCCCCGCCCGACCCATGCCACTGGTGAAAGAAGCGCTGATTGCGTTTGCCAGAATCGTTTTCGGACAGGCCACCACCCACGCAGCCAACAGCTATGCGTACTTAGCCAAAATCTAACAACTTTCAGTGCTAAATGCCTGCAGGCATCTAAACTGTTACAGCCAGTGTAATAGTGCCCCGCCCACCGGCCCACACCTCTTCACCAGCTTCTCCCACTCATCACAGCTGCTTAAATTGTAATCTTAAAGTTTTGCTGAGCATATTGTGCTTAAAAAGCGAAACGCAATACAAATACGCAACGAATTTCTCGCTTTGTCAACTTCTATTAGATTGGGTCCACCCTAAACTGGTATTTGAGCCGCTTCATCTTCACAAAGGTTGCTTAACAAGAGTTTTGCTTAAAGTTGTTTAAGGCTCTCATAGTGTCAGTACTGTTTAGCTTTAGTTGTATGCATATGTGTAAGTGTTGTGTATAATAGCTTTGTATAACAGTTTTTTTTTATTCGAGTTTTCCTTAAAAAGCTATAAAATAATTTGATTACATTCCCTAATAATTTCGTTTTCAACTTAACTTACTTCATTGCCACAAAAAAAAAAAATATCTGGCAACTCCTGAATCTGTATAACAGCTTGTTTCTTAGCTGATTTTGATTGTTATATCAATCAATATGACTGCAAGTCAGTTTAGCTTTATCAGCATTATTTGTATGTATAACACTTTTCCATATATGTATGTATAACACTTTTGTATAACAGTATGTATAACACTTTTGTACAACAGTTTGTCTTTATTTACACTCATTTCGGGCTTATTATAATTTCGGAATACATAGTAGATCATACTTCTCTAGGAAAAGTTTTAATTTTGGCAACAGCTGAAACCAATCTGTATAACAGTTTGCTTTTCAGCTGTTTTTCTTTTAATAATATATCAATATATGACTGTAAGCCTTAGCGTTATCTTTATGTGTAACACTTTTCCAATGAAAACTTTTGTATAACAATTTTCCCCCTGGCAACTAAATGAAATCATTTTTATTCGTAATAAGCAGAATATCGAATAACGTAACTGCAAAACAAAATAATCAAAATAATACTTGTTTCATTTTGAAATAAAATACTAATTAAAATCCGTAATTTCTGGTATTTTTCGCTGTAGCTGGTCGGAGGTGAATTCGATATGGAATTGAATTTTGTGATACAGGATGCGCAGAATATAAAGCATATGCTGGAGCTGCTGGATCATTGTCCGCCCAATTTGCAGGTGAGTTTCGATAACAAAAACAGATGTGTGTGTGAGGGAGGATGTGTGTGTGTGTGTGTGTTGTATAACAACAAATACAAATTTGATGCTATAAAATTCAATAAAAAATTGTGTCACTTTGCGTCATCAAAGCCAAATTAACCAGCAACATGAAAAAGGTAACTGTATGTGTGAGTGTATGTTTCTCTCTCTGTGTGTGTGTGTGTGTGTGTGTGTGGGTGGCTACAAATTGTGCGTAATGAAAGCGCAACATGAAATGCCTTTCAACTGTTTTTACTTTTGCCGCGTTGTCATTCGCCTCGTTGGCTACGCGTCGCAATCTTGTTTTCTCTCTCCTTTTTTTGATTTGCATATGAATGTCTGCCTGGCTGTGGGTGTGCGTGTGTGTGTGCGACTGTGTGTGTGCGCGCACATTAAACAATATTTTACACCTGACGCTGTGTTTCGCGACGGCGCCATCAAATTATTAGCATGAATGCTGGCAAAGGATGTGACGCCCGGGCACGTCCCCAACTGGTGTGTGTGTGTGTGTGTGTGCGTGTGTGTGTGCTGGCAGGAAGTGTGCTCTTCTCATGCGACATTCGCCCCAGCTTCAACTTTTGCTGTTGTGCAAGAGTCGACGCCGGAAGTTGAGTAACCGTGTCACCAGCAGCAGTCGTGGTAGCAGCAGCAGCAGCAGCAGCAGCAGCAGCAGCAGCAGCAGCAGCAACAGCAGTCGTGACAGTCAGCTTTTAGTCTTCAATACCCTATGCCCCAGCCAGTAGGAGGCATACCTCAGCCATGTCTGACAGTTTGTAGAGCCGACAAAAATCGCGCCGCTTTGTCGCTTAATGAGTTTGTTTCAAGTTTGTCTCATCGCTGCGTGCATTCACCTCGCAAACAGTTTGACGACAGAGAGCTTAGCTTCCAGATACCCTATAAGCGCATTATCCCTCAATATTAACATATTCTCTCTCAAAACATGCTAGGGATATGAGTGTTAATATACAGCGCTCTAATAGGCAAGCTGTAAAACTTGAGGTGCGGCTTGAGTTGAGAAGACAAATTGATTTACGAGCAAAGTTTGCAATCGGACTTGGAGCTTTAGCTTTTGAGAGAAAGAGGCAAATATAGAGAGAGAGAAATATAGAGACTCAAACAGAGAGAGAAAGAGAGAGGGAGAGAGATGGAGAGACTTCGAGAAAAGAGCAAAGACATAGGAAGAGATAGAGACAGAGAGACCGAGAGGGAATCCGAGAGAGAAAGAGATGGAGAGATGGACAGATGTAGATAGAGATGGATAGAAATGGAGAGAGATGGAGAGACATAGAGAGACATGGAGAGAGAAAGAGAGACATACAGATATATAGACAAAGAGAGACATAAAGGGAGACATAGAGAGAGAGAGAGACAGAGAGTGAAAGTGTATTTAAATCCAAGCTAAGTTGGTTTCTTGAGGCTTTGGCTCTTGGCTCTCGGCACTTGCTGCTGGTCTAAAGGGAAATTTTGGCTCAGGTGTAGCTTTAAGTATGTGTGTGTGTAGGTGTTGGCTGCTGCTGCTGCTGGGTGGATCCTTTTGAAGCCACTTACATATGCGAGCCATTAAAATGGCGCTTGGTGAATTGTGCCCACAGTTTGTGGCATGTGGGAATGCCACACACACACACACACACACACGCACAGTGATATATATATATGTATAAATACATATGTATGCCTGTGCGTGTTCGTGATACATGAGTCGCTGTTGTTTCATGCCGTGCGCAACGTCAGTGGCATTCAACGTCAAATAGTTGTGGCTCGGCTGTGCCTGAACGAATTTATTTAGCTTTTTAAATTAATGAAAATTGTCACTGACAAATGTTGTGCGTGTGTGCGTGTGTGTGCGTGATGTTGGCTTGTGTAAAACACGCATCAAATATGCATCATTGAAGTGGCAGCAGCAGCAGCAGCAGCAACTGGAGAGTGAGGCAAGAAAAAAACGTGTTGCGTGATTTTAGGCGCCAGCTTCAAGAATTTGCCAGCATATTGGCTGCTCCGTCGGCAGCTCAATTTGGCATGCTAAGCAGGTGCGCCACACCATGCCTCGGGCGCGCGGTGTGGCATGCCCCTTTACGCGGCAAGTGGAAATAAAAAGGAATTTACAGCCATTTTATTGCCTGGGGACAGCAACAGGGAACAGTTAACGGGTCGCAGTCCCTCCCAACAATTTTGCATAGCTCGCACACCTCTACACACACACACACTCACACACAGAGAGAGAGAGACCTACACACAATCATAGCTTGCGGAATACTTAAATGATTTATGTGTTTACCAGCAGCATCGCTGCGTTCGCCACTCAATTGATTCGGCACGTAACCGGGCCAAGTGCAAATAACTGTTTCAGTTACCAGCCGAGCAGAGTCCCCATCTCTTCCTCGTGCCGAGCCATTATGCATGCGGCCATTACGTTTTATACTTGACAATAAATTTTCGGCGTGGCATTCGGTTCAAGCCGAGCGCAAATCAAAGCCACGTTATGGCCATACCCCTTACCATAACCAGCTCCGTTGCTTCTGTTCCTGCTGCTGCTGACTTTTGCTCCGATTGCCATAGCTGGCTATAGCCGTTGCCGTTGCTGTTACCGTTACTGGTTGCCCGTTCCGGTTCAGTTTTAGGTTCCGCTTCTGGTTCCCACTCGCTGCCCCATGTAACCGCATATCTGGCCCCGACTCGCTGGCAACGCCTTCGCTTTCGCCTTCGTCGGCCCCGACCTCTGTCACTCGGTATGCTCAATAAAATTTTACAGCCTTTGCCAGCGCAGCAATTTGCGTAACTCTTGCCCCTTTACTCACCATCTACCATTTACCCTCTCCCTCTCCCACTCTCTCTCTCTCTCTGAAGTGCTGCTGCCTGTCTGGTTGGTCAACTGGTTTCACCTTTCGTCAAAATCTACATTTTGTGTTTGCTTATTGCGCCACCTGCCGGCTGGTAGCTGCTTTGAATAACATTGTTAAGGCTCCATTCATGCGTGCCCCGCTCTCTGCATGGCTGCCTCAATGTTCCCTTCGCCCTCAACTTGTTGGCAATTTATTTTAAGCAAATTTTTGCTGCTCTCTCTCTCTCTCTTTCTCTTTCTCTCTCTCTCTCTCTTTCTTTTGTACTATTTATGCTACATAAATATCTCATTCAGCTCTTCCAACACATTTCTTTAACAATTGCTTTTCATGCTAATGAGCTGTTAACTTTTTAACAGTCTCTCAATGTAGAACAGCTGTTGCTTTTCATTGTTTAATATTGGCTACGCTCTATGCTCGCTCACCAAGTGAAAAGAGTTTATTAGTTTGGTGTAATGTTCAGTACCCTCTATGGATGCTAGAGCCTTGGAATCCAGGAGTTTTGTAACCGCTGTAACTCTGTAAACTGAAGCTCAGTCTAAGACTCGAGCTCTGAAGAGCTGATCTAACTCTCTCTCCTGCTCTCTCTCTCTCCCTCTCTCAGAGTTAACTCTTAGCTCTCTTTTGCAGCTTAAGATTTGATAAATTCTTGTCAAACTTTGTCATATTTGTTGCTCACTTGATAGAGATGAAGAGGGGAGCGAAAGAGGGAGAGACAGAGCGCGCTTTGTGGCATTGACTTTGCAAAGGAATTAACTTGTGCCTACACAAGGCCTCAGTATGTAGAGAGTGGCGGGCGGGGGTCGGGTGCAGGGGCGTGGCAAAGCTTAAAAAAAGAAAAGTTTTGCACTCGCAGCATTCAGCGGCGACTAAGCTGCAGCTTAGCGGCGTGTTAAAACCAGATAAAAAAAATGTATGGAAAAAATAGAGACGAGCGAATGGCAAAAAAGTGGCTGAGTGGGCCAGCTGTGGTGGGTGGTGGTTGCTGGCGCGGCTGTAATTATTTGAGAGGCGGCAGCAAAATAGCGATGGATATCTGTAGCAAGCGCAGATCCAATGAATGGGGCAACAGTTACCCATGCCCAGCACCGACTCCTGCTGCCCGTGTTTGCCACCTCGAGCTATGAGCCGAAGAATAAACAGAGGCAGCAGCAGCGGCAGCAGCGGCAGCAACACACAAAAGCCAACAGCAGCGCCAATGGCCCAGAGGCTACACATTACAATTTATTCATGAATTGAATTTGTATTCGCTGCAGATATTTTATAAGTTTACCATTTGCCATGGCCCAGCTGCCGCGCCTGCAACATCCACTCCTTTCCACCTATTCAAGTGCTTGGCATTTGCAGTATTTTATTTGGTATTTAAATACTATTTTCTCATTGCTATCGGCAATCATATTTGGAGCAGAGGCAACCGTTGTTATGGATACATATACAGATATATCTGTATGTCTGATATACATGCAGCTTTGTTCACAAAAATAGTAGTGCAACAGACAAACGGTGAACAACAGAACTTATTGAGAAAAACAAAATTTTGAAAACTTTTTCAAATGAATAATAAGCTTAGCATGTTTTCTATTTATTTATATATTCTTTGTTACAAACTGTAAACTTCAGAGCTTTATATGCTGTATATGCAGCTTTGCTCACAAAAATATCAGTGCTGCACTACACACAAAACTAGAGCCAAAAGTATCGATACTTTTGCATTGACAAATAAAAAGGTGCCCAGTTTTTTATCTAGAATAGAAGCAGAGAATTGCGAAAAAAAGCCGTTACTTTGGGCCAAAATTCTGTTTTGACTATTTTAGAAAATCGGCCGTTCTAACTAGATATAGAACTTGATATTGGTATATATATATTAGGTATATATATAGCTATATATAGAAATAATCAACTTTTAGCAACTTGGGCCCAAGTTGGCTTAATCAACTGGAATTTATTGGCAGGCAGTTCAAGGTGGCCGAACAGTGGTGCCAAAGCACACACAAAGCTTCCACTGTGCAGGCAGGATATTCTTTGCTTCTGCTTCTTCTTTTTTCTATCAATTGAAGCTGGCAAAAGGCCAAAGCGAAAGATACACAAAGCGAGCGATGTTCATTAAATATGAATGATTGTCGTTCTGGGTGCCAATCGAAC